CTCCAAATGTTAAAGATGGCTCAGGCCCTTTAGTCGGATGCATGGCCCATTAAAATGTGGAAAATCTGTAATGCGCCGGCCACATTGCTCAAAATAAAAGGGCGTGTAGAGTGATTCTCTGCTTATTGCATTAGTCGCTATTGTCCTTCTTCCTACACCCGGCAGCGTGCATTGAAGGCAACTTCCCACGTTAACTTTTGAATGGGGGGGGTGACGTCACGCCTGTTGCGAACTGCCATTGGTGGTTCCGTTGCGTCGCTTTGCCTCCGCTTGCCTCGTTCGAAAGTTGAGAAAAGTTCAACGGAAGCGTCAGCCAATCAAATCCCTCGCTAGCCCAATCAACTTTTGTGTCCGTGGGCGGGAGATTAATGTGATTGGTGTTGGTCGAGCTTCAGCAAACCCACGGCGGCAGAGCTCATACGCTAAACGCCAGTATGTCGCCACGTGTTAGATAGGGAACTCACGATAAGACCGGTCACAGATCAGTATACATACGCCTATGAGCTCAAAGAATCTTTATGAAAGGCTAGCGTAGTCGTTGTCATAAAATATAGTTTAGAACCTTCTGTTGTCCTAATTTTGTGACGAAGACATAGTCTGTTTATGCGACACCCATAAATCAACCTAAATCCGATCTATGAATTACGCACACGCCCTCTAATGTGAACATGACCGGAAAGCATCAAATATCAAATGTGAGCAATGATAGACACATGTTTATACGGTGTCACAAATTGATTAAAATAAACAGCTGCGCCAAGGACTTAACTGACACGGCTACTCACCCAAAGCGCCAATACGAAGATCTCGAATGAACCAGCTGCAATCACGCTACAACAGCTTGGTCCCCTGCAGGTGAGTCTCTGCCCAGAAAACCATCTCGTCTACCGTTCGTATGACCTACTCGTGGTCTCTTATCTGTTTGTATCCCCCCGGACTGACCGCAATATTACTATAGTTTGCTGCAGGCGCGATAAACATGCATAGGCCCGTCCGCGTGGTGCACTCTAATCCGATAACACGTAGTTTAATCAGCGGTTGGATATGAGGGAAAGTGACTGCTATGTTGTGTCACTTGGCGTCCTACTGTCACCGCACGGACAGGCGGTCTTGTCTGAGGTCCACTGGATGTTTGATTGGTCTAGTCTGACTATCTGCCAACCTCCGCTGTGCGCGATGATAGACCGAATAACACACAGGAGAATGCATGAGCTCTGAGAGCCAGCGACGATCCGCGGCCTGCACATTGGACACATGTGAACCATATCGCTGTCCCGCTCTTCGATAGAGTAGACTGTGGGCGCGCGATGAACAGTCTGGACACCCGGTAGTGCCCTGATGGTGCACCCATCCAATGCAGTTCGGCGTGACACAAGAAGAACGCCGCATGAGCTTTGCTACAGATGGTCTCACGCGCCTCTCTCGCGCGACCCAATTGACGTTGAGGGCGCTCTTGAAGCGTTAGAAATGGCCTAGCTTGCTCTTCGTAGAATGATGGCAGGGGCGGCCCACTGGTGTCGCGCTCGCGCCCGACTAGGTGTAATAGTCGCGATTGTCATCAACGACGAAGGTCTCGAGGTGGGACCACAGCCCCGCTTGGTCAGTGAGGGTGCTCATATACACGTGATGTGCTGTCGTGACGCGTCCTATGGTGCATAAATCGTATAAAAGAGCTGCTCTCGACGACGTCCGTTTATTATAGCACGTGTGAACATCTTCAGAAACACAATGCTGTCGCGACATCGTTTAGACACCCACACTGAGCGGACTCATACGCTTTGTCTGGACGCTGCAGGCACTATGCCTGGATGGGGATAATGTTATAAGATACTGTAGTAGCACTCCAGTGCTGTACATGCGGTTAAACTGTATGACGGATCGCGCTGGCATTAATGGTATGTAAACCCTTAGCATAGGAACGCTCCACTTCTCAGACTCAAGAGGCAAGCACCCAGCCATCGGATGTACGTCGAACCTGATGTCTATTTGTAGAATCGCTCACCGGACGACGGGCAGTCGCACAACATCGCTCGCCTCTACTATCTTCGATTCCCTGAGAGGGACAGAAGACTGTGCGCAATTTGCGACGTTGCGTATACTCTGTGTGTGGAGTCTCGGTTCTCTGGTCTTACATCGTTTGGTTCTCTCCACCTGTCGCCGAATGTCCGATAAAAAATACCACGCTCCGACCCAGTTGGCGGTGTAAGGCGTCTGCTTTCCCCGCAGATGCTGAAGACTGCTAAGACTAGAATAAGTGCGGCGTGAGGTAGCATGATGTGCAACCCCAGAAGGCTTGGTGACTATGCAGTATAAGTCTGTTCGCGCTGCGTTGGGGAGGCCCTGAATGGTGGAGCTACGTAAGCGTAGAGTAACCAAGCGCTCTTCTGTGAAGCATGCAGAAAAGACTCGTCTACTCTCCGCGCGCAACGGCGAGGCGACCAAAGTACAAGGAGCTGTTCCTCTGTCCTAAGGACGGTCTTCTGTATGTCGCACTACCTGTAACAACAGCGGCCAGCGGCGGGAAGGGACAGGAGACTGTCTGGCCAGTCGTGTCACAGGAGCCGTCCTACCCCATGTGCTGGACACCTCTGGTTACAGGAGACCATGGGCCGTGCCTCGACCTCATTCCGACGGCAAAGGTCCACCTCGGCCCTGCCGAACAAGGCTCTACGATTGTTCTCCACCACTTCTGGGTGAAGCCTCCACTCCCCTGGTGGAGGTTGTGCCGAGAGAGGAAATCTGCACCTGATTTCGGTCTCCTGTAGAAACACTGCTCGCAGGCTGGCCAAGCGGAGACGTCCAAGACAAGAGGCTCTGTGAACAGCACGGATGTAACTGTGAGGAGACTGCCCCTGCGTTAGAGAATATGATACATCGGGAAGACCTGCCTGAGGGACGGCCTTTGTCAACGAAGGGAAAAGGGCACACTGGCGCTGGTCCTGTGAAGTATGCGGCTCCGCTTTACAAGATAGACACATGAGCAGAGCTGCATATAGACCCTCCCACCATGGCAGCGGAAAAGCTCTAATAATCGCTATAGAAACTGTGATATCGTCTCTTCCTGGGCCCGACACACTGGACCGCATGAACGCAGAGTCGCTCAGCCTAGACACCATGGAACTGTCACTCCACACACTCATGAAGTGTACCTTGCCATGTTGACTTCTGTACCTCGCTCGAGTAACTAGTGCTTAGTCTCACGCGGGAAACTGGGATGTGACTAGCAACAGCCCGCAATCAGCAGAAGATAGGCCCATGCTCACCTCGCAGCAAAGTCGCCAACTGAGTGATGTCACAGTACTGGTGCTGGGACAACGCTGACTCTTTCTCTGCTGTGATGTGGCTCTTGTGCGCTGTGTGCCGT